GTGGATAAAAAAGCTGTGGTACATTTACACAATGGAATACTATGCAGCAGTAAAAAATGATCTCTTACCCTCTGAGACAGCATGGAAGGACCTGGAGAGTATTATGCTAAGTGACATAAGCCAGTTAGAGAAAGACAAGTATCAGATGATCTCACTTATATGTGGAATCTAGTGAACAAAATAAACTGATGAATAAAACAAATCCAGAGACACAGAAGCATGGAACAGACTGTGGAATCTCAAAAGGAAGGTGGGAGAGGGTGGAACATACGGAACACAAGATTTTCTTCTGATTGTTTTCATTTTTACATTTAAGTCTTGAATTTTTCTGGAATATATGTGTGCATAAAATGACTAAGGGTTCAAGTTAATCTTTTATATGGATAGTCAATTGGGCCTATGGGTACAACTATTAAAAAAAAATGAACACCTTCCCTCACAAAGGCAAAATTCCATCTTTGCTATTTATTTAATTCTACAGTCCTGAGTTAGCTAGTCTCTCTCACCCAGGTTCTATGAGAGAATTAAGCTCTGATACATACACTATGTATAATAAATGGCTTCTCTCTAATGCATCTAGAATGGTGCTAGTTCCATACTATCCTTGGGAAAACCAAGAAAATAGTTACTCATATCATTTTTTTGTGTTCTGAGATTCAGGTGAAGAACACGAGTTGAGAAGGCTCTATTTTTGTTGTTGCTGTTCTACTGCTCTACCTACCTACACTGCGTTAGGGTCCTACTGACTACATTTCAGTGGTTTCCCAGTGTGCTCTGAGGGGGTAATGTAGATCCCCTCTCCTACCATCAGCACCACCAGGCTCTTTCCAGACTTGTCCTGCCTATTCTCAGACATCCATTCTTCTTTACCCACCTTAAAAAAATTATCAAATATTTAGTCAATTTTAAAATAATCTAAAATAATTCTCCTTAAAACACCCTTGTGGGATTTTAATGAATCTTGCATGACTGCCTGGGAATTTGCATTTTATGACATAGATCTGAGAGGGAAGATTTTTGCAGACTAGTTTCTCCCAGGACTGGCCCATTCTGATGCTCATCTAAGGGTCCTCCTGCCTCGGTCCCAGGCTTTCAGTGATGCAGAGATCAAACCCTGCACTGGCTCATACTGGGGCTCCAATGGAGCCTAAATTCTCTCGCACTCCTGCAACCCTCCTGACCTCAGAAGCCTCTGTTCAAGAGAGGTAAATAAAGTGGAATCAGAAGGGGAGAGAAGATCGAAAGCATTCAAGCCTCTCACATCCCAGAATCCCTTTCTCAGGATTAATTTTCTTCAAGTCCTCTGAAAATGAAGGCAGGTACTTTCCACCTCGTATTAACGTCACTGCCAGACAAAATGTAATTCCAGACTGGATTCAATTTGTCATGAAAACCACAGTGATCTTCTGAATGAAAACTGAACATATCACTCACTTTAAAGGTGAATTCGACGGTTATTCGCTTGAATTATTTCTACTTCCCTTTTCATTTTATTCTGCTCTTTCTCTAAGTGTTTATTTGTCTGTCTAAGCACTTAAGTAAGGATGATATCATAGGCTAAGATATGAATCATTCTGGGAACTTAGCCATTAATAGAAAAAATGACACTCATTTAACTTTTTGTCTCTGACAGTGCCTTACTTAATTAGGGATTGATGCTCCATGGAGGTGAAATCCCAATGTAAGTTTTACTAATATGGTTGCTTTTGGTTCTATTATCTAAGAAAATTAAAATTCTGCTCAAAGAAGATAATGGTAAAATTTACTGAGGCAAGGAATACTTTAGAACTTTTCTGTTGTGAAAACGTAATCAAGAATAATTCTAAGATGTTAGAATAACTGTTAAATAAAGCATAAAAGTAAGATTGTTTTTTAAAACAGCTAACAAACTGGTACATATGTTATACTCATTTACCTTCCTCAAATAAATCACTTTATTAGCTGGTATAAAAGAGCTCAGACATTACTACAACAAATAAATATGTTAGGCACAGAACATCTGTGTGGCTCCTAAATCAATCAATCAATCAAACTATTACACACTGGCAAAATATTAAGCTGGAATAAAATGCCCAAAGTTAACAGCAACAAAAAAAGAGTTGACATTCAGCCTGATACCAAGTTCTGTTTTGATCTTTGTTCCCTACAAGTCATAACATCGAAAGTTCATTCATAACCTTTAAGATAATGTCATCTGACTCAGTCTTCCTCTCTATCCTCATTTCACGGTGCTTGCCCAGTGTCCACATTCCCCTCCTGCTTTCCTTCAAACAGGACAGCTCGTTCCTGATCCGAGGGCTTTGCATTTGATATTCCCCTAGCTGGAATGCTCTTTGCCACATCCCTGCATGGCGGGCTCAACCCAACTGTCACTACCACAGGGGAACCTTCTTTGACCCTACAATTTACAGTGTATCTCCCTTCCACCCTATAATGCAGACATATAATCTCCCTATCCCATTACCCTACTTAACTGTACAGAATGTATCACTATTTGAAATTAATATACTTAATTTCTCTCTCCTTTTTTCTATTTCTGTATGAGTTCCCTAAGAGTGGGGACTTACTTTCCTAAAGGGATATCCCCAGTGCCAAGAACAAATATTTGCTGAATAATGGATGTCAATAATCATCCATGTCACTTGGATAATTTTGTATCAGCTAGAAATAAGAAAATATCTAAAACTTTTATTTTGCTCTGAATTTCTTTTCCCTTTAATTCTTCTAAAATCCATATTCTAATTTCTAGGAAAAGGTCAATTTTTCTTTTGTTGCTTTTTCAAAAAAGAACATGTTTCTAAGAAAACAAGTTTTTACATACTAATAAGTATTTAAATATGCTGTTTACTAACCAAACAAGTAAAACTATTTCTTCAAAATAGCTGTTTTGGACCTAAATCAAAAGTGCCTAACACTGTTTTGGAAAGCATGTTTAATGAAAAATATAAACATGCAATTCATGTGAAAAAACAGTGAATCAAAAAGTAGAAGCACTATGCAAAACTTGTAACTTAAAATTTTTTTTAAAACACCAAGAGAAACTACATATCATCATATAAATTATTAATGGCTTGTTAAAAAATTGTTATTATTTTTTAAATGGAAATTCTAATGAACTCAAACCAAGAAAAACTCTAATTACAAATACACTTAAAGTATGTCACAGAAATAAAAATATTTATTGAGCACTTCAGTTAAATAGAGTCCAAATTAACATAATGAAAAAAATGAAGCAATATTTTCCATTTAAATCAACACAATAAGCTAATTGCTAACTTTTACTTAATATGCTCCTAACTGAGCTGATTAAAACTATTAAGTAAGACTGAGGAAAGGAATACCTTATAGCCAAATTGCACTTTACAATTTAATCAGAACATACTGATATGCTTTAATAGACCACAACGGGGTAAATATAATATGCTACTGTTCTCCTCTTTAAATTCTTTCAAGTATGTGTCACTGTTGAAAGCAAATATTACAACCTTGTTTGATAGAGTTTTCAGTTTGCAGATGACATATATATGACAAGTATAACATAAAGAGGGGAGGATAAAGGATCCTGTATGGCTGTAAGGTTTCTATATTTCATGTAAAGTGATTAAAAAAAACAACAACACTAAATAGGTAAAAGCTTTGATAAATATCTTATACCCCTTAAGCAAAAAGGAAAAAATTAAGAATAGATAAATGAACATGGAGTATTAAAAAAATTCAAATAATAAAAAAAGAAAATGGAAAGAGAAAAGCAGAAAAAAAACAGACTTAAATGCAAACATATCAATAGTTACATTAAATGCAAATGGTCTAAACAAATACTTAAAAGACAGAGACTATTTAGATTGGTTAAAGAAAAAAAATAAAGCCCAAATAAATATTGTCTATAAGAAACCCACATTAAATATAATGATATAGATAGGTTAAAGGTAAAAAGACGAAGAAATACATACTATGTAACACTCCTCAAAGGAAAGCAAAAGGATAAAAAAACAGTATAACGTAGGAAGGCAGATATACACTATATTATTATTAAACAAAGTATATGTCATGTCCAGGTATTAGTAGGGATAAAAATTCCCATTTTATAATATAAAAGTAGCTACTAATGAGGAAGACAACAATCCCACACAGGCACACACCTAATAATATCACTTAAAAACATACCTAGAGAAAGAAATAAGGGAAGGAACAGACTAATCTATAATCATAGTTGGAGATTTTAATACCCATTCTTCAGGACCTAATAAAACAACTTAGGAGATTCCAAAATGGCGGTAGAGTAAGTGGAAGCTACTCTGACACTCTCCCAGGACCAAATTGGAAATACAATTAAAATACAGAAGAATCACCATGAAAATTCAGCTGAAGATTCGCTGGAGAGAACCCTGATAACCAAGGACGGAAAGTGGAGACTGCAAGGAGACTGGTAGGAAGTGCACCAATGGGAAAGGGGTGGCTGGGCTCCTGCACACAGCAGCTGAAGGTCTGGAGAAATCTCAGCTGCGGGGGAGCAATCTGCAGGGCCAGAAGAAGTGGAGTCCTGTAGGCCATGCTTGCGACAAAGTTTAAGATAAGAGCTCCAGAGAATGCTTTACAAAGAGGGAATAAATTACTCACCTCTCAAAACTTGGCCCGATAGTGTAATCACCAAATAAATAAAGTCTTTTAAAAAAGGTATCCCAATTTAAAATATTTAAAATACAGAATTAAGCTTAAAGAACGTGTAGCCGGTACATCTATATATGTATGTTGTATGCCAAAGAGCTATCCTGAGCATTGAGATCATTTACTGCTTACCTGGCAGGAGCTGTTGGATAAATAATTTTTATGTGTTGGAATGTTAAATCTTGATTTAAAACCTGCTTGATCCACCTTCTCAATCCTTGTCCAGAATCACCTGATGAATAAAAAAAATCTAGATTAGGATAAAACATTTTGACAATACGGTGTATTTAAAAACTGTCTAAAACTTTCATGTCATACAGAGGATGGAACAAGGAAAAAAAAATCTCCATACATAAAAGTAACTGCAGAAACTGATTTATCAATATGAACTGATCAGGCATCAATGGGTAGGAATAATTTTGATTACTCCTAATTTCACCATTGATCACTTTAAAGACTTTAAGCTTGAGTTGTAAGTTTCCTCATTTGTTTAAAGGTTATAATAGGAACAAATAAATGAAATAAATAAATTTTTCTAAATAAAAATTCTAATTTTTTCTGACTTTAAATAGCCATTTCTTATCTTTACTCTTAAAAATAGTTAATCCCTAAAGTGCTTATAAACTTTTATAGTTGGAACAACCTAAAACTATTTTCTTGGTTAAAATAATAAAATCCTTCAAAAGGGGTATTGAGTATGTTTGTATTTTTAAACTCAAGAAATCAGAATTTAATTTTGAGAACATGTTTACATGACCTAAAATAATGATTATATGTTCCAAGGCTAAAAAATCACCAAAATTCATGCAAGAATAAGTGTATGTGTATATCCATTAAAAAATGAAGGAAATATAGCCCATCTTATACTGTCCTGAAAAGGAAACTGAAACGGTAACAACTTTAATTTTTTAATCAATTCAGTAAGACATCAATTCAAAAAACACCTCCTGAATACCTATTAATGTATCAGGCACTGTGTTCACTGCTAGAGGCAGTGATGGGAAGGTGAGGGGAGAAAGAACCCCTATCCTCCTGGAGTATAAGTTCAGTGTTGGAAACAGACATTAGTCCAATAATCATATACATGTATGTGAAAGACATGTAACCACTGCAAAAAACGAGACGTGTGGTGCTGCCAGGGTTTACGGTCTTCAGAAATGACCCAGTTAAGGAGTTCAGGAGTAACTTCGCTGGAATACAAGCTCTGCAAGGATCATTCTGTGTTTTATCCACTGAGCCATTTGTTCACTTAATGCTTACAACAGGACTGACACAAACCGGGCGTCCCACGGGTAGTTGTGGAATGGTGTGAACTCAAATCTACAGGATGGTGGGAAGAGCATCTCAGATACAGCGTAAGGCCAACGCGAAGACCCTCCGTAGGAAGGAGCAGTATGACATCTAAGCACTGAATAGCAGAAAATGAAAGGAAGAGCAGTGAATGAGAGATGAGGTTAGAGACACCCATTTAAAAATAACTGTAATAAAGAGTTTGGCTGGCCTTTGTCCCCAGTTCCTAAGAGAGAGGTAACCTCTAAACCCTTAGAATTTCCTGAGCAATTAGAGTGTCTTTGTTATTCATGGAAGGGCCCCCGCAAACCACAGGATAGTTTCACTAAGATGACTCAGGGTGGGAGCTGGCCAGCCAGAAAGACCAACCATGTGATTAGAAGGTTGGGGCTTTGAACCATATGATATCAGTCTGACCTCCAGGGAATAGAGGCGGCTGGAGATTTGAGTTCAACGCCAAATCAATCATGTCTATGCAATAAAACCCAAATAAAAGCTCTGGATAAAAAGCTCAGGTGAAGCTCTCTTTGTGACAATATTCTTTTGAGTATTGCCATACCTCAGTGCTGGGAGTTAATTCATTACTGAGGATGACAAAAGATTCAGGTTTAGAACGGTCCCAGGCTTTCCCGATACGGCTCTTCTTTTGGCGGGTTCTAACTTGTATCCTTCCGCCATAATAAAGCTGTAATTATAAGAAAATAAATGCGGCTAGAGAAGCTGAAGGAACCTGACAAATCCTGAGAGCATAGAGAAGCTAGGCATATTTTTTGGCAGGAAGGTGACTCGCCTCTAAGGATCACCCTGGAAACTGTGAAGACAGAACAGAAGGACAAAAGGAGATGGGGGAGACCAGTTAGGAGGCTACTGTTCAGGTGACAGATACTTAGACGGGGGAACAGCAGTGGAGTATACAGAATTAGGAACTAGAGATATTAGGAGCTAAAATTAACAGAAATTGGCAAGATATGGGGGGGAGGGGTCAATGGTGAAAGGTTTCAAGGCTGACGGTGAGGCTTTTGGCCAGGACACCTGGTGAACAATATAGTGCAGGGACAGGAAACGCATGGAGCAGCTACTCCTTATTCCTGCTTTCTTTCTTTCTTTTTTTTTTTAATAGAACGTACTATCTCCTACTATATATTTCCTCCTGTAAACTCCAGGGGAGCAAGGATTTGTTTGCCTTGTTCATTGTTGTACGCCCAGAGCTGAGAACAGTCCTTGCACAGAGTGGCCATGTAACAGGTACTTCTTGAATGAGTGGATTAATGAATTAGTGATTACTAGGCTATTGGGGAAACATGTCTGGTGCTCAACTGTGACCTAAAATGGAGATGCACATCTGTGCTTCCTGTATTTAGGTAAAAATAGAATCTGTGGGCTTGTATGGAGGTTAGCCCAGGGAGAAAAATGTAGGATGAGAAGAGGACCTAGGACCAAATATTGAGGAATCTTAACATTAATAGCCAGAGGAGGACGAGGCTGCAAAATAAACCAGAAGAAGCAAACAGAGGTAGAAAGAACCAGGACAGTGTTTCAAGAAAGCTGAATGCTGCTGACAGTTCAAATAAGAGGAGACTGAAAAATGTCCATTACTTAGCAACACTGGCAACTTTAAGAGCCAACCCAGTCGGTTGGCCAAGGCTCACTGAGATAGGCAGGCTACTCCCTGGGCCCAGCTGGCAGGAAGCCAAGACCTTCCCTTCTCCTTACAACCAATCATCACCGGACTGAAGTACACTGCTGCCTGTAACATTTATTTTGTGTGTGTTTTTTTGGCAGGGGGTGGGGGCGGAAATTAAGTTTTTTTCCCCTTGTTCACACATGAACACTAGCAAGAAAGACTACCCTTTCCTGACCTCCCCTCATTGAACTGCTAAAGAAAAATACCCCTGGGTGGAGATATAACATGGTACTGAGACACGTGACACATAAAGAAGCATGCAGTCACACTGCGCAAGCACCAGAAAAACCTCGCCTCTACATCCTTAGCCGTCACTTTCCCCACCTAAGCCCCTTTAAACTTCTCCCTGCCTTTGTTCGAGGAGCAGCCGTGTTCTTTCCCTTGGTGGTGCTGGTTTCCTTGTGCACAAGTAAACCTCCTTTCTCTACATTGGTTTCTGGTGAGCTCTTCTGACTTCCATTCTGGGCAATAACAAGAACCCAGCGTGAGAGTGGTAGGACTCTCACCTGTGACCGGGAAGGCCTGCGTTCAATTCTCAGACAATGTACCAGGCTCTGCATTCGTTTCTGGTGATCTCTCTCCCGGGAGATCGCAAGAATCCAGGGTTTCAGTGACGTGACATGACCATATGTGGAGAAAGCAAGACATGCACAGTTTGGGCCTGCATGAACCTTGAAACTTAGTGTGGAGTACAGACATGAAATTAGGTCATTACAAATATCATGAACACCACTGAACTACAGTGTCCTAAGGAAATATATAACAGTGTATTAATGTCATCTGGGAAGCTGAACAAAGCTAGTTAGTTAACTATCATTTGTTTTCATCGTCCTGAGAAAAAGTACTTCTTTGGTATTTTAGTAGCAGGAAAGGCTTAAATTGATTTGGCTTTATATAACTTCCACTCCCTCCCATTCCTTCTATGGCTGCCATAAGTATTCTAGAAGAGAACCTCAAACTCTTAAGATTAAAACAAAACACCAGAAATGTGCCTCTAAATTCTTTTCATCAACCTTGAAAAGCAAAGCTGAATGCTACAGAACAACACCTATCCACCCAGTCGCCAAGTCCCCCTTTTAAGCCAGCACCTTATTCCAAGAGCATGGTAAAGCTATTAAAACTGGTTTACCCATATTTGGATTAACCAGAAGCCAAACATCTCCTATCCCATAATCACAAATACCCAAGTTCAATGTAAAATCATACTCCTAATAAGAGTTTTATTCGCTAAATGGAGCTCGAAATGTACAGAAATTGCATTTTAGTTGTAAAATGGGCAGAACTCGTTGGATAAATTCTTTAAGTACAAAGGGAAAAACATACACACACACACACACACACAAACACACAATGGACAACTCAGAGCTATATAGTTACAAGTTCTCAGAGCTATAAAGCTACAAGTTTTTAAAATGTCATCAATCTTGAAACTGAAAAAAAGCTAAGAATAGTTCATTTAAGCAAACTGGCCCAAGGAAAAACAGAACAAAAGCCTAGGAGCGTTACCTAAAAACACTAAAATAATCAACTTATGAAAAGGAGTATGGTGCTGGGGGGTTTCTGGGTGCTCATCAATGAAGACCCTTGGAGCCCTGAGCAAAATTAGTAATAGTCGCCCACCTGTTACCTTGAGACACCTCACCTTCTAATTATGCTCCATTAGTCAAGTCTTTCCCTTTAAATGTCGTGGGCCCTTTTCTATTTCCAAAACGAAACATCCTATCCGTGGTCGGCAAACTTCGGCTTGCGAGCCACATGCAGCTCTTTGGCCCCTTGAGTGTGGCTCTCCCTAAGCCTTAGGAGTACCCTAGTTAAGTTAATAACAATGTACCTACCTATATAGTTTCAGTTTAAAAAATTTGGCTCTCAAAAGAAATTTCAATCGTTGTAGTGTTGATATTTGGCTCCGTTGACTATTGAGTTTGCCGACCACTGTCCTAGTTCAATTTCTCTCTGTGTGAGTGTGTGTGTGTGTGTGTGTGTTTCACCTTACCTCTCCAGAACACTGATCCTGGCCCCAGACAGCTCTCTGTTCGAGCCCCAGCTCCTCCACTACTTAAAGGTGATAGCATCCACGTGACCCGGGGCCAGCTGCTCAACCAACTGAGACTCATTTCCAAAATGACAAGCCTTTGCACCTGGGCCTGTTCCCAGGCCTCCGCCATCCAGCCACCATCCACCTGAAGGCGACCTAAGTCTCAGCTCCAAGGTCACTTTCCCAGCCAAATCGCACGAGCCCTTCACCCTCCAAAAGCCTTTAAAAAAGGGCCAAACCGCAGCTTTCCCCTCGCAATTCCCTGGGCAGTAAACCACGCACCATCTTGTGACACCTCCCCCCTCCCACCTTCACAGCTGACTCAAACGAACTGAATCGTTTTTGTTTTTTAACTTTAGGTAGAACACTGGCTGCATGGCTGCATCTCATTTCTTAAACAACCCCCCCCCACCAAAAAACCCCCCCAAAAAACCACAAACATAAAACCCCAAAACTAAAAACCATCTCCCAAGAGCTTACCCTGGGCCAAGCACTAGGGACGCAAAGACTAAAACAAGGGTCCTTACTCCCCGAAAAGCTCAACACCCAGAGGGGAGGACAGACATGAATGTGAATTACCGAGGAGTTTCAGAAACCTACAGATTGAAGGACACGATGCCAAAGGCAGGCGGACTTGGCTTTGTGCTGTACCTTGGGGTGCTTGGGGTGCTTGGTGACAGCAAGGGGGGGGGGTGAAGGGGT